ACATACATATATATAGTGGGTTTTTTTTTTCCCCCCAAGATCATCCTAGGGGAGAAAACTCGGCCATCAGCTTAGTTTGGGCAGTCAGCACTGTTAAGAAATGTCAGATGGTTTTAAGAGGATTTTTCTGGGTCAGAGTTGGCGTGGCACAGCAGAAGTGCTGGCGCGGCTGCAATTATATCTCTGCCTTCCAAAAGCTACAGAGGAAGTCCTCTTCCTTCTGCCGTGTTTCAGAAAGGCACCGTCGCTCCGCTCGTCTGCTCCCAGCCGGGCTCTCCCTCTCCAGCAGGAAATCCTCGGTAACCTTTCAAATGGGGTCATCGTTGTTCTGGTCCAATTTTGAGCTGAATGCAGCTGTTCTTGTAAAACCAGAGCAAAATCCTCTACTACAAGAGAGACAGCCTGCACCATGCCGCGTTGCTTCTCCCGGCAGCCAGCAAACTCTGCTGGCTCGGCGTTAATGTAGCTCATGCAGGGAGCACCGTGGACCCAGCTCTGCGGTCCTGGTGAATAAACCGGTTGCTTTTTCTTTTCGTTGGTGTGGATTAGAAATTAAAAAGGGAGAGCGCTCCCCAGTCGGCCTGATGGCTACTTGTGCTGCACGGTGATTGCACCGTCAGCCGGGTTGCCGCTTCTGTGCGGGCTCGAGGATGTCTCATTCTTGCCGGAGGATGCTGGTCCGTGGTCCTCACCCTCACGTGGTTGTGCGGGACCAGGCAAGCAGCCTGGCAGAAAAGAGGTGATTTCTGGCCGAGCAGATGCCGTAGGGTTATCTCAGTGCAGTGCCTCTCTGCTGATAGAGATGCTCTGTATGCAACAGTTGATGTGTGGGGAAAGCAGGCACGGAGGTCCCTGCAAGAGCATGTGGATATAATTTATGGAATTCTGTCCTTACCATTTATCTAATAAGGAATTGTCTCCACCCTCATTAACTTATTTCATGCCCAAATAACAGCTCGGCTTTGCATGGCTGAGTACGAGTTCATCCATCCCGTTTAGACAGCATCGTTGGAGACAGCTAATCCTCCTGCACCACCGAGTATGAATTTGTGTTTGTGCTTAAACACCTGCAGAGCTGCACACATGTAGAAAACTTGTTGTCTCAGGCCAAAATCGCCTCTATTTACCCTATTGCACAGGCAGCAGAGCTCCCCTCTCCCGGCTTTGCGTCGCTGGCTCCCGGCCGTGCCTCCGGACAGATCTCCTTTGTCTGTCGTTCTCGGCTCTCTTTTGGGAGAGGTCGGTCCCGGGGCCTGCAGTAACGCAGTCGGGTTTGCTCTTGGCTCTGCTGAGTTTCTGCCTTCTGCGGTTATTGTCTGAGTAGCAAATTGAGTTAAGTACAGCTAGCTTCATTCATATTCTTCAGGCAGGCCCTCCGAGTCTCAGCTGGTTTCTAATCTTGCTTCATTAGAAATTCTCTGGCCCCTTTTATCTGCTTGCAGCTTCAAGCACATGATTTACAATCTGGTTTGAATGGCTCAGAATCATTACTGTCTAATTTGCCACCCTTTATTTGCAAAATTAAAGCTCAGTAGTGTTGCGCTGCCGCTCGCGAGAGATTTGACAGCAGGACCATAGCTGACCGCGTCTCTCCTCTGCAGCTGCTGTTAAGTAATACCTCCCGTCGCTCTCCTCCGGCGCGGGGAGGCGCGGATGAAGAGACGCGGCAG